GATAGGGCTCCGCTCTGAGGACTAAGGAAAGCACCCAATTAAAGGTTTAGCTTGTTAGCAGAATAATATCCGACAGCTAGGGCGGAACAGACCTTGTGAAAGTTTGTAGCAATTAGCTTAGCTCTGGGTAGAAAACAGAAATGTAGGTTAATTATCAATGCAAGTTAAATATCAGTAAGGCATCATAAAGTACCCACAATTTTTATTACTTTAAATTTTGTTTGAGGTTTCTTATGGGCTGTTAGTTTCTGACAGAAAGGATTGTTTAATTCACTGTGTAGGTGTGTATCTAAAACTATAGTAAATAGTGTGATTTGTCTGATCTTAGTTATCCATCCCCCAGGAAGCAGCCTTATAACCTGGTCTCTATACCTTGGCTGCTGGGGCTGTCTTTACCACCTACTCCATCACCACCACCCCCATTACCACTTCCTTCTTCCACCCACATACCCCAGGAAGTAATTACGAGAATTGCAGGCAGAGTATGAGGAAACAAACAGCCTCTTTAAGGAGCTTGACTGGCAAATTCACCTGACTTTGTCAAAATCAAAACAGTGAACTGAAGAGAACACATGGATTGTCATGTAATGCAACGGTTACACAATAAGTCTCAAGTATCAACAATTAGAAGTTATTTTTTGTTCTGTAGGATCACCATCAAACTGTTAACATCCTAAAACTATCCAGGTTTTCAACATTTTTAAAGATCAATTTTTACCTACCCCACTTTATGAAGTAGGTTATCACAAGAACAGATTAAAGTTTTCAGTTTACAGGAGTTTGTACAGATTCAAATTGAGCCCCCAAATTGCTGTACTGCTTCAGACTGTCCTGCCTCCACTAGTCACCAACTGACAGTTTGAGGCCACTAAATTTAGAACTTGAATTTACTAATTAATATGCAGAAGGCTCTCCCCCACCACCCCGATCCTATTTCAATAGGATGTTACACGGATGACATCAAATAGCATATGTAAATATATTTCTATCAATCCACAAAGCCAATAGCAATCAAATATAATCCATGATTAAATATAATCTGTGCTTAAATGTTAACCCATGAACAGCCATTTTTAAGGACTCTTTCCTTAAGTGACCCATATCACACAAAATTTTTTTATTGAAACTTATATCAAATTGCAATTCAGAGAGAAATGTTTCTTTTTTAAACATTTTTAAACACTTTTTATTGATTTATAATCAATTTACAATGTTGTGTCAAATTCTAGTGTAGAGCACAATTTTTCAGTTATACATGAACATATATATATTCATTGTCACATTTTTTTCTCTGTGAGCTACCATAAGATCTTGTGTATATTTCCCTGTGCTAGACAGTATAATCTTATTTATCTATTCTACAATTTCAGAGAGAAATGTTTCTGATGCCTAAGTGAGAAGCTGAGTTTTCAACAAAGACAGTTACGCAACTTTTTATTTTTTAGACCAAACAATTCTTTGGGACAGTTTGATCTCAGTTTTTATGACTTAAAAATCAAGATTTCATCATTACTCCAAATCTAAAATGATAAACTGGTGGCTGACTAATGAAACTCCTAAAAATAAAATAAAACAAATAACAGCTCCTGTTCTTAGATCAGCTATTCTGTCACTGTTTTTTCATCCTGACTTAGAGAAAATTAGTGGGCAAAAGTTAGGATCCTAAAAAACAGTCCATGTCCTCTGACAGCAAGGCATGAAAGAATCAGAATCACGGTAGATAGCAACTGACCATCTTAGAAGTCCCACTAACAGGGTAAGTGCCAGAAACCTGGGATACCTGGCAATACTTTCCCTCCTTCTATAGATAAGGCAGTATGGTATAGATGAGGATTCAGGAGACCTGGGTTCTAGTCCTGAGTTTGCCACTAATCAGCAGTGTGTCACTTCCCCTCTCTGAGCCTAGGTTTCTCTTTCAGTTAAATGGGAGGGCTGAGCTAAATGATCTCATGTCCCTTCCTACTTGAAAAATGTTACTATTCTATGCTTCTTTCCAAGGCCTTGAAAATACTTTGGTTGCCAATAAAACAATGAAGAATGCTCAAGATGTCATATTTATTTTTATAACATGTTCTCAGTGTCAGCTTTTAGTATGTGTATGTGTAATCCACACAAATTAGTAGGAACATTTATTTCATATATAATTTACCTAGTAAATATTTAATTTCAAATCTACAAGTCTTGAATCAGGTCTTCAAATTCTCTTCAAATTAAAGATGAGGAAATGAAATGACTCATAGTCCAGGGCTTTTTTTCTACCATACCAAACTTCCTCCTCCCTTTCCTGCTTTATCAAAAGACAGCAGATAGCAGAAAAGAACACTAGACTGTGAAACTGATCTGGATTCTAGTCCCAACTCTGCCATTAATTTGCTGTGGAACCCTGGACAAGTCACTTTCCCTGTCCAGGCTTTGGTTTTCACAACATTTTATATGAAGAAGTTTAACTAGATGTCCATTCTAGCTGTAACATGCTATGATCTTATAACGTTTCTATCTGACATAACAAAATACACATTCCTGAAAGAGAAAGTGGAACTTTCTAGCAAAGAAAACTGAAAAGCTTAGGCTGCTAGTTTTAAACATATGCATCAGTTCAATTCAGCAAGTTGGTCCTAAAGCATTTTACTCCAGAATCTCTTGGAGGAGGTTACCCTTTATACACACACAAACACACACACACACAGAGCACACACCCAGTGTGGGGCAGTTACGATATACTAGAAAAAAATACTGGAGTAGGAGTCTGAAGAACTGGTTTCAAATCTCAGCTATCACTTACAAACTGTGTCTCCTAGACCAATTCATTAACCTCTCTGAGCATAAGCTTCCTTATAAAAATGAAGATGAGAATAAGGAAACCTGACCTAAAATGTCAATCAAAATAAAGCACTATAAATATGGTGTATATTGCAAAGATAGACAAGTGGAGATGATCTATCACTGTGGAAAAGTAGGTTGCATTTGAATTAAGTCTTTCTATAAAAAACTGGGCTGATTTTTAACTTATTACATTTGTTTTCAAGGAATAGAATAATAAAGCTGAAGACACCATTGGAGGGGGAAAAGAAGAAATAAATCAGTTTTAGGAAATGGATTGTTTATTTGGATTCTGCTGATTAACAAAACATATAACTCTCAACTGCCTACTCAGTTTACTACAATTTGGTGAAATGGTCTGTGTATACTAGAACACACAACAGCAAGGAATATTTCTTACAATATTTCTTACTCAGTCTGTTAACCTCTTAGAGTTTGTACGGTGTATCACTCCAGTTCATCTCAAGGGAGAGAAGATATTTCTGATGACCAGATATCTAGTGACACCATCTGTTTCCACAAATCCAAGATTTTTCACTGCATTTCTAGGTTATTAGTTACCCAGCCAAGTCTCCTCACAGTACCTTATGCAAATAAGAAAAACTGTCACAAAAGATAGAGGAAATGTTAATGACGCCAAACTTGTGCAGTCCTCCCAGTACTGCAAGTTCTTTTCAGATGCAATTCTCCAGATGAGTCTAATTCTCTTCCAAATCCCCTCACTAATACAAGATGGAGCCGTGAAATTCACAGAGTAGTTTTATCCATAGAGCTCAGCACCTTCAATTCTTTGGTCAGGTTAGCGTTAAAATCAGAAGGCTAGGTCCCAAGAGACTTTTTCACTTTTCACCTAGTATATCAAAGGATCGAAGTACCTGAGAAGGTATATTATCCCATGAGGGAAGAAGTGACTCTATCAATTCTATCAAAATGACTCATTCGGTTTAGATAAGTTAAATAACTCCAAGTTCTGCATACTTCCTCCCAAAGTAAGCACTGTATGAAGTTAAACGTGCTAATTTCAAGATAAGAAGGAGAAGGGAATGAACATTTGAGTTCTTTCTCTGTGCTAGGACTGGACTAGATAATTCACACAGGTCGTGATGTAACTGTCCTTCAAAATTAAATCTGTTATATTCATTAAAAAGGAATAATATTCACATAAGTCTAAACTGATTAAATCTTGGAGGTTACCCTTTATCGTCTATTGTTATTTCCCTCCCCCTGGCGCTAACACACACACACATGTACTACAGGATCAGGTCTCTCATTTAAGCTGAATGATAGTTCATTACTTTAAGGGGAAAATCACAAAGATAAAATTTAATTTCACGGCACTCCCATGTATTTGGAAATCCAAGTGAATTTTCTATCCTCTACCATCTAGCTATGAATTTGTTTTAGATACTGAACTTAAAGGACATTCACTGCCACCTCAAGTTTGGTAATTGCTACCCAGAAATCCTGTAATGGTGATATGACGGTTGATGAAAACACACAATCATCAGCAATCTACCAAGGCACATTTGTCTCTGATTTCGCTGCTGTAACTTTTGGGGTATACATTATATATAATACATATTAGGTTTTAGAACGACTTCTAGAATGTACAGATAACTTTATTTACATCAAGGTATTTCTTCCACGGGGTAAGCTTGCAAATAGAAGGCAGCTGACTCCTGGAACCATATTAGTAACTTACATCAACATACACATTTTACCAATTCTCAAGTTCTTACAGCATGAGAATGTATTTCACTGCCTCTAGCTCCACACAAGTCCGCAGAAGAGTTCGGTGAAACCGATTTAAACACTACTTCAACTTTGAAATGTGAGGAGTGGGAAAGCACAAGTCAAACGAAGCATTTCAACTACCGTACTTCCTACTCAGAATCTTCCATATTAATTACCACTAAAATATCTTGCAGAATTAGATAAAGAGCACAAAGCTGTGGTTCTCCTTCTAACCAAAGATTACTCAGCACTTGTTTGTATCTCTGTAGTCGGTTGTGAACATTTATGTCCGGCTACTCTTTTAAGACCGCATTCTCCCTAATGGTAAAAGACCTTGTCTTCGATTTCCTTTACCTCACGGTAAAATGCTATTTTAATAAAACAGTGTCGAGCAAGAGTACATCAGCTAGAGGACTTTCCTAAGTAAACATCCAGTCTTCCCGCCCCCCCGCCCCCGCTCCTTTTCTTTTTGTGCAACGAAAAGAGGACGGCAAATAGGGAGAGTTACAGCCACCTCTGAAACGAATAGGTAAGTTAGCGGCAAAAGAAAGAAAAAAAAGACAATGCAATTTCCCTTGTTACTGCTTCTTTTATCTATGGTCCCCAAGGCCAAAACGGATGCTTCAAAGGTAAGCTCTGAACCCCACAAATATAAATCTTCGGTTCTCGGGTTCGTAAACCGACCCACCGCGCAAAAAGCTGGACGAGAAAGGGGCTCCGAGAGAGCCCCCGGGGCCGATCACCAAGGAAAAAATGCGGAGGTGGGCCCGAGGTGGGCGATCGCCCTCCCTCGACTCCCTCTGAAGTGCCCCAGTGAGACTGAGAGGAGCAGCGGTGGCGGACACAGCGGGACCTGGGAGGGATGTAGGGGAAAGACACAGGAGAAACCGGGGGACAGGGACACCCGGCTTCTGGGACATAGCTCCAATTACTTACCCCACAGGGTAGCCTCCACCTAGGTGCACATCTTCAGGGGCATCAAAGAATTCCTCGGTGTCGCTTTCCGACGCCATTTATAGGACACACCCGCGGGTGAGGGGGCCGGCGCCGCCTGGAGGGAGGGTGACTCTCGTCTCTTCCTCGTCGTCCTCCACCCCGGTGAGACCGTGGGGAGGTGGGTCCCGGGCGAGGATGAGGAAGGAGCAGATGATCTGAAGTGGGGAGCCCGATAGGGGCAGGGGGCCGCCGGCAGCTGCCGGACTGCGGGAATGACCGGCGGAGCGGTCTCCTGAGGAGGCGGCGGTGGGTCCAGGGACTGTTGCTGCCGCTGCTCCCGGGGATAGGTGTATAAGGAGAGCGAGAGAAGAGGCGGTGGCTCTCCTCAGTGGGGGAGGGCGGACACTCCGACTACACCAGCTCCAATTTCTCCCGCAGCAGCAATTACAGCAGCTGAGAGAGCTAGTTGCCCGCAAAATACGGACGCGCACCTACCCTCGCGAGATTTCGGGAGGGGCCGGTACAGCGTGGGTGGGGCGAAGAGGTGGTGGGGGCGGTACCAGAGAGGCAGCGCTCAGATTTCTTCTACTCGGGAAGCCTATCAAAACAGCGCAAGCGCGTTGAGGGCGTTTGGTGCGGGCCGGAAGTAGCCGGGAAGGGTGGGGATGAGCGTACTGAGGGGAGGAGTCTAGAACCTGCGTAGGCGCAGCGCGGAGCCTCCGCTCTGTGGGAGCGCGCCTGACGTAGGTGGGGTGTTGCGGAGTGTCCTACCCACTAACCATGCTTTTCCAAAGAGAGGCATTTTTAGAGTGGTGATTTTGGGTCTGCCTTTTTTCTTGTGAGGACATGCTGTCGGAAAAAGTTGGCTTCGCAGTTTGAATTTACGTCGTTTTAATTTATCCAAGCCCGGAATATTCTATCCTAGGGCGTCGGCAGGTCCACCACCTCTAGCGTTGCGGGCATAACCCGTCTTATTTACTACAAGATCTCTAATTGAGATCCCTAGATACGATCCTGCCAGAGGGTGAGTCCACGAGAGATACGTGGGGAGTGTACCAGTTCCATGGAGTAATGATGGATTTATGGCTGGAGCTGAGCCAGTGTAGGGCCTCCGGTTACTTTTTCTCTACAAATATCTGTTGCTGCCCACACTTAATGTGAGAGAATTCTTACATACTGGCCAAGATGTGCGTCAGCCAAATGGTGAATATATATTGAGCAGATTCCGTTGCAAGGCCAAAAGCTAGTTACTTAATTCCGATCTTCGACTGCCCAGTGTCCAGTGATGAAAATAGAAGGAAACCAAGATGTTCTTAACGCATCATTGACCATCGAAGTGGTAATACTGAGTTTCTATATGATCGCGAGGCACATTAATTTTTCCCACTGACTTGATAGAAAGACCCTCTGAGCTGTTTGCGCAGCCTCAATTGTTGCTCAGGATGGTAGCAGAAAAGACAATTGGGAACAGGGGCATTGCCCTAAAGAGTCTGGAATGGGGCTCTAGAATCATCCATGTAAAGCAACCAGGAAAAGAGCTGGGGTTGTCTGGGGGACTTGTGTAAAACCAAATACCATATACTGTATATTCTGTATACAGGAGTTCAGGGAAAACTGCATAATCAAATAGGGTAATTTTTTTTTTTGCAACAAACCATGTGGTTATTCATAGGGGGTACATGAATACCAGTAAATAGTTTCCTTCAGTGCAGGTCAGCCACTACTGCCAAATGAGTTTAGGCCAGGTTAATTTGACTGTCAAATAAATTACTAAATATACAAACCAAAATTTTTTGGTTTCCAGAGCTTTTTGAACTTAAGAGTTGCACATAAGGGATTTTGTGAGGACATGACTTTTGTCACAGTCCAGTAATTATTAGCTTTTATGTGTTTTAAACATGTTAATTTCTGAGGTATAAAAATATATCTCAAAGTACTAATTTTTTATCTTGTTGCTCACTAGGAAAGATAATGCTTTTTTCCTTATGGATTATGGAAAGATTTAAGTGAATACACTACCTGAATTTATTTTCTTCCTAGTTACCGAATAGTGAATTTACATTTGCCTTAAAAATTAAAGTTTGGTGTCATATACTATTCTAGGTGCTGAGGATAATTCAAAGATGAAGAAGAGGACTTATTTCCTGCCTTTCAGGAGCTCACAATCTAGCAGTGGAGAAAAATACGGAGTCCTAATTTGGTGCTTTTTTTCACTATACCATACCACCTCTCTTGGACCTTTTAAGGTACCTTAAACATTATACTTAGAAAAAGGTTAAAATGAAATAGGAATGATAAGCCGATAACATTTTTAGAGCTATTAAAGTTATCTATTTAAGTACTTTTATTAATTGTATGAGAAAGTGAATTTCTGGGAACATGAAAGCACATGTATACCACCTATCCTCATTTTTAAAGATGTCAAAAGATGTGTTTGTTTTGCCTGATTTTTAGAGCTATTAAAGTTATCTATTTAAGTACTTTTATTAATTGTATGAGAAAGTGAATTTCTGGGAACATGAAAGCACATGTATACCACCTATCCTCATTTTTAAAGATGTCAAAAGATGTGTTTGTTTTGCCTGAACATCTGTTCTTGAGTTTTAAAGCGGCAGGTTTTAGGCTTAGTCCAAGGCAGTGGTTTTGAAGCTTTTCTCCTTATTAGAAATGGAACCCTTTAATCAAACCAAATTTCATGCAAAAGTCCACATATCATAAAAATAAAAGCTATTCTAGGGGGGAGAGTATAGCTCTGTGGTAGAGTGTGTGCTTAGCATGCACGAGGTCCTGGGTTCAATCCCCAGTGCCTTCATCAAAATAAACAAATAAAAACCCAATTACCTCCTCTTCCCAAATAAATAAATAAAATAAAAATAAAAATAAAAATAAAAATAAAAATAAAAGCTATTCTAGTTGAAGCAGGGATATTTCAGGTCCCTGCCTGCTTGGCCTTCTCGGAGTCTCAAGAGACTGTCTTAAGGCTCCATTAAAAAAAAAGTGAGGGGTGGAGGTATGCTCAGTGGTAGTGTGTGTGCTTAGCATGCATAAGGTCCTGGATTCAATCCCCAGCACTTCCATTAAATAAATTTTTAAAAAGTAAAAAAATGTGAAAACTATTGCACCAAAGCAGGAGTTGGCAAATTATAGTACTGGTACACTGGACAAATCCTTCCTGCTGTCCATTTTTATAAATAAAATTTTATTGGAACACAGCCAGCCTTATTTGTTCATATATTGTGTATGTCTGCTTTCAGAGCAGAGTTGAGTAGTCGGGACAGAGACTCTATGGCCCTCAAAGCCTAAAATATTTACTGTCAGGTTTTTTGCAGAAAAATTTTGCCAACCCCTGATCCATTGGATACTATTTTCTAGGGTACCCCAGCACTGAAATTGCACTCAAATTAAATGGTTATTTGAATTAGTTTCACAACAGAATTGTATAATGCCATGAAATTATACCTATAGATAAAAATGACAATCAAATGTTTTCCGACCTGGCTCACTCCCAATGACTATAAAAACTATACAGGTCTAAGGCTAAGGTGAGTTTAAGGAACCTTTGTATGCCTCCTTATCTGCATAGCATAAACTCTACCTAAGAGTTTTAACGGCTGGGGTCACAGCTAGGGTATGGAACAACTTGTCTGTGGGATGCTTGCTCTCTCCTCTTGTCAATAATAATACAAAATGGCTGTATCCTTGGAGCCAGTTTTGCTCCAACCCCAAGGGTAATCACTCAGAACATCAGTGATAAAACTCTAATGCATGTAGGCTTTGTTATAAATAAGAGTTAAAATGATAACTCAGGGAAAAACTTTTTATGTATAGGGTTAGGTGATTTGAAATACAATATTGACATGAAAAGATTTAATATTGCAATCTCTATAAGAGTTTTAATGAATTTTAAAGTATCAGAATCCATGAAAAAAAATCACTCTGAAACTGGCCAAAATTTTTCAGGGCCAAAATTAAATTCTGTAATCATCAGCTTTCAATTATCTGTTTGAAAAGTCAGTTGTGTTACAGAGTATAATAGTAAAAATTCAAAAAATCTATTTGGCTTTGGAATTTTTATATCTCTTTCAGGTCCACTCCACCTTCCTAATGATGGTTTATGTTAACATTAAAATGAATTTTTAATCTCTGAGCACACAAGAACTGAAAGTAGAGAAAGACAGTCTAGAAATGTGTCAAGAGATGCAGAAAGCCAGCCTGGGACTAAAAATGTGTTACTATAGTGTAATGGAATATTTTGTTGCCATGTATTACTGTTCAGGACCCTGGAAGAAAGCTAACTGGTATTATCTTAAACAAAAAAAATGTATTTATTCACTTACATAATTCAATACAGACTGCTATAACACTTGTCTGTTCCTTTGTGATTAATATAGTAGAGAACATTTTAAGTGTAAGGCGAATTTTGCATTTGTTTATGTGCAGTTTTGTCAACCAGAAACATTAGGTGAAAGCAGAAAACTACACCCTGATGAATCAAGTTGCACTGAAATACATAAAATGCACACAGACAGACTTCAGATACCTACCAGCCACCTCAGTGCATTGTCTGTTTTGAGCCACACCCATCCACATCTAGTGTTACAGCCTTCCATCTGATTTCAGATAACCCTCCTTCTACCACTTAAAATAACTCACAAGTTGCAACCCTTCTGATACCCATTTCCCCAGGCAAACTTAAGGCCTTTTTCAAAATAAAGTGGCATATTTACTGTAGTACTTACGTATTTCTTAACCATTTAACATATAGCTCAGTGGTAGAGTGTTTGTCTAACATGCAAAAGGTCCTGGGTTCAATCTCCAGTACCTCCATTAAAGATAAATAAATAAATAGATAAAAGCTTAATTACCTCCTTCACCAAAAAAAAAAAAAAAAAAAGCAGTACATGTAAAACTGAACCACCGTTTCTATTAGGCCTGTATCTTTGTTTGTGTGTGTGTCACTGACAAAGTGTTTGAATGTTATGCTCTTAGCCCCATATCCCCCATAAGCCCTGTGATTTTATTTATTTATTTATTGAAGTATAATCAGTTTACAATGTGCCCTGTGGTTTAAATTGAACAACTTTGCATAGTGCAGTAATTTTAGGAAAGCATATGTGGTCTTATAGCAGCGCTGACTGTAGTCCAGATGAAGTAGCTTCAGGCATGGCTGGATCCAGGTTCTTAGCAATCTCAAAACTCTCTCTCTCAGCCTGCCTCTTTGCTTATCTCTGTTTCTTTTTGTGCTTTGGCTTCAATTTTCCTATCACAGACAGCTTCCTTTTTGTAGTCAGCAAAGGTGGTTGCAAGCAACTTTAGTTTATAACGTCCTGATAATTCTCAATCCCAAGGAAGTAAGATTTTCTCTCTCTCAGTGTTGATATATTAAATCTCAGAGTCTGTGTTGATTGGCCTGAGGAAACCCCTCTAGCAAAGGGAATAAAGAACTCTGATTTTTCAGGACTGGGTCAGCTGATTCCTTGCCACACGCCATGTGGGGAGAGACTACTGTGATCATCTTCCTCACTAGGACCACATGGAGTATGCGATGGAAATTTTTTCTAAGAATGGGTTTCTAGCAGACAGGAACAATGGGCTAACCACAACAAGTTGTTAAAGGGTAAGTCATTCATTGACATGACAGGAACTCATGATGCATTAAATGAAAACATGTTATGAAATAACTACATGAAAAATAATCCCAGTTATATAAAGTTATTTATCTATGTATCTATATGTATATTAAGCATAGAGAATTCTGGAAGAATGCTCACAAATAATTGATGGTGTTTGTCTTTTACAGACTTCCCCAATAAGTGGTCGCTCAGGAACATGGAACTTACTATTTACCCAATCCATTTTTTGATGAATGTTAACAAATGTCTTCACTATATTTAGCCCAAATCTGCATTTCTGTGATTTCCAGGTTATAATTCTGGCTATTAAATCCATACAGAACCTTTTATCTATTTAGAAATGGTTATCAGTCCTCTTAATGTTTTTTATCTTGGAAATATACATTTGACCCTTGAACAATGTGGGGCTTAGAGGTGCCAACCCTCTGTGTAAGTCAAAAATCCACATATAACTTTATAGTCGGTCCTCTGTGTCCGTGTGGTTCTGCATCCGCAGATTCAATCAACCTCACTTCATGTAGTACTGTAGTATGTATTTATTGAAAAAAATCCACATATAAGTGGACCTGCACAGTTCAAATCCATGTTGTTCAAGGGTCAACTGTTTGCAGATGTGTTTATACTTAATGTGTTCAGAGATAAAGATAAACGGGAATTTCAACTGCACAATTAGAGTGGTACATTAAATAAGTACATGATAATATGTGTACATACTAAACATGTCCACCTTATGTACAAGGCACCTGTCTAATGGTATGCCCCCTATGTGTACCTAGTGATAATATGTTACATTAGAATAGCTCTTTATACTTTCTGAGAGAGTTTTACATGTCTTACTCAATGTTAAAATAATAATTGCTATCATTAAATTAGTGCTAGATATTGTATTAAGTATTTTGCATATATTATTTCACTTAATCCATGCACTATATGGGGATTATACTACTAGTATAACCATTTTATAGGTAGGGAAACTGAGGTTAGAAGAATTAAGTAACTTACCCAAAGTTTCACAGCTAGCATTTAGTGGTCAAAATTTAAGCCCAAGGTCACACTTTTATTTTATTTTACATCTGTTGTTATTATCTCTGCAGAGTTTCCTCTGGTTTGGCCAGCTTGTAGCAAATGAGATGTGTTAATGAGTGAAGTGTCTGAAATAATAATATTACAACAAAAAAATTAAAGTAATTGATTTATATTTCTTTTTTCCCCATTTTTATGGTATTTGAATGGGACTATCTCAACATTGGGGGTTGTAGTAGACAGAATTTTAAGATAGACCTCCAAGACTTCCTAGCTCCTAGTGTACACATGTTCTTCTCCCAGTTATTCAGTTCAGTGCTAATCCAGGTGCTGCTATGAAGGGATTTTGCAGATATAATTAAGTCCCAAATCAGTTGACTTTAAGATAGGGAGATTATACGGGTGGATCTGACCTAATCACATGAGCCCTTTAAAAGCAGAGTCTTCTCTGACTGGTGGGAAATGAAAGTCAGAGAAATACACTCTGGCAGACTTGGAAGAAAGCAAACATCTGAAAAAAAAAAAAAAGCAAGCAAGCAATCAAGCAAGCAAACATCTGTGCTGTGTACTGCCTTTGGGGGCCAGGAGGTGTGGAATGTGGCTTCTAGGAACTGAGAGTAGCCCCTGCTGATAGTAAGGAAATAGGGACCTCAGTCCTCTAGCTGCGGGCCCCGAATTCTCTTGACAACCTGAATGAGGTGGGAAGAGAACCCCAAGCTCCATATGAGAAAGCAGCCTAGCCTACACCTTGATTTCAGCCTGGTTAGACCCTGAGCAGAGAGCCTAGCAACACTGTACCCAGGCTTCTGATCCGTAGAACTGTGAGCTAACAAATTAGTATTTTTTTAAGCCACTAACTTCGTGATAATTTGTAAGGGAGCAATAGAGAACTACTCCAGAGGTAAATATCCTTATCCTCCCTCTGCCAGTTAAGAACCACGGATCTAGGTAGATCATGCAAAACAAGCGTAACACATCAACAGGTGCTGTTTGCTTTCTAAAGTCCTTGAGTGCACTTGGGAATAAATATAACACTGGAGTGAACATTAAGGTGTAATGTAACAGAAGAAAAAAACAGTTCGGAAAAAATAACCTAACATGCATTTAAAATATGAAAGAAGTATCTTGCTTCACATACACTCACACACACAGTACACCCCAAGTTCAACCCTGTTTGCAAAGTATTCTCCAGAGCCTCAGCAATCCTGCTACCATGAGATTTTGCAGACTCTCTGGTTCCCCTGCTTCTGTGGTCTTTAACTATTGAGCGAACCTACTTGCCTTTAGAATTTACGCTTAGTTTCAATGTTAGTATTAATACTGACCTTCCAGTATTTTTATCTGGTTTCGCTGTGTTTGCTTGATCATTCATTCATTCAGCAGAGGGCTTACTGTGTTCCAGGCATTGTATTATTAGTGGGTTAACAGTGGTATGGCTTAGTCCTTCTGGGCTGGGCTTTTCATTCTGCCATCTAAGCTCATGATTTGTACATTGACTTGTCGCTTCAGTACTCTGTACCTGGAATCTGACACATGTGATCCAGACCTTTGGGGATTGGGCTCCCAGTAGTCATTGCCCAGTCCCTGAATAACTAAAACCCTAGCTTTTCATTTATGGCTTTTGCTTATGTTCCTCATCTTTGAAGACTAAATTCTGGTCACCAGCCTTCTCCAGCCTACCTTGACCACAGTCTTCCTTCCTGTGTTCCCTGGATAGTGCTAACCTATGGGCCCGAAATCTATCTTTTCATGCCAGATCTTTTTGCCTACTTCAGTCATCCTGTCCACCTGGGTCACATTGGCTGGCCATTCTGGTTGATCAGTATCTCTTCAATCCTGAGACCGGTTTGCCCATATGCATCTTGAAGTTGAGAAATAATATACATAATTATAGCTTTTCAAATTTTTAACAAAGTTTTACACCGCAAAGGACCATTTTGTCAAAAGTAGACAATTTATTTAAAAACTAATCATGAATCTGACCTCAGTCTTGAACAAAAGTGTAAAAGTCATGACCTCAGAAGAGGGATGGAGGGTGAAAAGGGAATAATCATTTGTTCTGTACCAATGATCTGGCTGGCTGGCATTTTACATATTATCTCAGTCATTCAATTCTCCAATCTTCTTCCTACTGTATTTTTGTTTTAATTTTATGGGTAGGGACCTGAAGCACAGTAGCAGTCAGAATTTGAACTTAGGTGTACCTGGCCCTTAAATACATGCTTTTCCTAGTATACTGCATCAAAATACATACTTTTGTCTCTGTTTTTCCTTTTGAAGGTTGCAGAATGGCCAAGCTAGGAGTTAGAATTAACAGAGCTTACCTGCCAGATAGCACTTTAAACTCTGAAGGAAAGATCTGCATTGACTGTACATACTCTCACTTCTAGTATTCTGGAAAGAAAAAAAAAATAAGGCTTATTCAAGCAACTGCACTCATTGTCCTTTGCTCCTTTTGAAGGACATGAATGGATATCCTGATTGTGGTCAATCCAGGATTGTCATGTGGGCAAATGAAGGGTTGGCATTAGCCTAATAAGTTTAGTAGACAGAGTTGAGTAAACTTGCTAAATGTAGCCTGAATCTGAGGATTTGTGTATTTCACTAACTTTGGAAACATTTCAGCCATTCTCTCTTTCTTTTAGATTATTTTATTTTATTTATTTTTTGAAGGGGGGAGGTAATTAGGTTTATTGATTTATTTATTTTTAATGGAGATACTAAGGGTTGAACCCAGGACCTTGTGCATGCTAATCATGTGCTCTACCATTGAGCTATACCCTCCCCCCTCAGCCATTCTCTCTTATTCTATTTAATATTTCCTTCTAGAACTTCCATTAGATGCGTGTTGATCCTTCTCATTATATCCTCCATATGTCTTCACCCGTCTTTTGTGTTTTCTCTCATGTGTATTTTGCTATTTGTGAGCACACGTTTATTGGATTTTTCTCTTTGGAGATTGAATTAAAGTGAATTCTTCCAGAGGAGAGTTGCACTTACTTTTACTAGTCGCCTGGGAATACTGCCAATCCAGAACTATTTTAAGCTAAATTTCTGGTATGAGGCATTTTGGCCAGAGAGGTAATGTGAATTCTGGACCCAGACCTGCCTGGAGTTATGATGTCATAAAAAAAGAGAGAAAAAAGAGGGTAATTTTATCTCTCTCTCTCTCTCTTTTTCTTTTCTACTCAGAGCCAAAACCAAGACAAGCACATATCTCTATAATCTACCTCTGGATGGTAGTTTTTCCCTCCTCTTCATCCATTGAGAGCATCATCCCTTGGGGGTCTGACTTTAAGCAGAGAAGGAAAGGGATGATGTGTGCCTGATCCAACTTCTAAACTTTCCTGGGCCCCAGGATTTGTCCTTTTTGTCCCTTGCACTTGATTGGCCCATTAAAACCACTAGGATTTTTAAAGCTCCAAGGTTATTAGGAACCAGTAGCTATGCAAAGGTAGATGCCAACTTCGTAACTCCCTTTTTTATTCTGGGTTAGTGCTAACTTATCCTTACTGGCTCTTATTTTTGCACCATCTCAATCATCAGCCCTGCATTTAAAAGACTATATTCTATCTAGCATTTCTATCTATCTATCTGTCTGTCATTTTAAGATGTGCTAAACTGGAGGTATTTCTTCGGCCATCTCTTCTGCTGTATTACCTCAATTCAACTCTATTCCACAGAAAGATGTCTGGGCAAGTGGATTAAGATCTGGTGGAATTATCGTGGAGGCAGTCCTTCAGGCTAAAAGTAAAACTGTATATAGAAGCTCTGCCTTTGGGTTTATATGGATTAGGCCATTGCATAGTTGTGGATATGTTTTACTAGATTTATTATGCCTTTGAAAAAAATTAGGATGTTTGAGGTCCTGGATCAGGCAGTGTAACAGAACTACTTCTACCAGCAGCAGATCCTGAAGCAGATGCTTTCTGGACTAGAGAATTGCAGAAAGTAGACTAAGCACTATTTGGGTGGAGAGTGAGAATCCATTCTTTCCAGAAGAGTGAAAAGATATCTAGTCTGCCTAGGAAGTATAGAGACTCATTTTTTTAAACATTTTTTTATTGAGTTATAGTCATTTTACAATGTTGTGTCAAATTTAAGTGTAGAGCACAATTTTTCAGTTATACATGAACATACACATATTCATTGTCACTTTTTTTTTGCTGTGAGCTACCACAAGATCTTGTATATATTTCCCTGTGCTATACAGTAGAGATTAAATTTGTTTGAA